AAAACAGTCCAGTGGCACCTTTAAGACCAAGTTTTATTTAGGTACGAGCTCTCCCTCCTCTGCGAGGACAGATCTGCCCGTTTCCTCCGCCCCAATAGCTAGCAATCCAAAGCAGTCCAGTGACACCTTTAAAACCAAGTTTTATTCAGGTACAAGCTCTCCCTCCTCTGCGAGGGCAGATCTGCATGTCCCCCCCCCCCAATAGCTAGCAAGCCAAAACAGTCCAGTGGAGCCTGAGCGGTGGGTGTTGCCTTCTGACATACTTCCGGTGATGTCAGGGGGTGTGACACATGCAAATAAGTTATGCTAATGAGCTCCTGCACCCCTTTTTCTACAAAATGACCCCTGTATATGTATGAGAGACACTATAAATATATATTGTATATACACATTACAATAATAGCAATATCAAAATGTGCTATCAGTCCTTAGAGTTGCCTCTCCGTTAAGGTTATGAAAATATGCACATCCATTTTGTTATTAGTTCTCGTGGCCCTTTCTTACACGCCCAGGGAAGTGCTGATCGCCACTTTGGGGATCAGGGAGCAATTTTTCTCCAGGCTAGTTTGGTTGGAGATCCTGCAGGTTTTTTGTCATCTTCTGGGTGTGGAGCAGTGGTCACTGGGGGTGGGGAGGGGGAGGTATTTGTGAATTGCCTGCATTGTGTAGGGGGTTGGACTAGATGACCCTGGAGATCCCTTCAAACTCTATGATTCGATGACAGCAAAGACCAAAATTACATCAAAGCCATGGCATCTATACGAACACTGAAATGAGGAAGGTCGTCACATTTGGAAGGGATTCTAAGATATTCATGTGATCTTTGCCTTCTTCATAAATATATGTACAGAAGATGTGCATGTATATATAACGCATATATGTGTAATGCATTCGTAGTATTTTATACGATTGGGTATATATATATATGTCTGTATGCAGGGGTCATTTCGTAGAAAAAGAGGTGCAGGAGCTCATTAGCATCACTTATTTGCATATGCCACACACCCTGACATCCCTCGAAGTGTGTCAGAAGGCAACACCCACTGCTCAGGCTCCACTGGACTGTTTTGGCTTGCTAGCTATTGGGGGGGGGAGGTGCAGATCTGTCCTCGCAGAGGAGGGAGAGCTTGTACCTGAATAAACCTTGGTCTTAAAGGTGCCACTGGACTGTTTTGGACCAGGAGGCCAGGGAGGGCTCTGCAACTTACCTGGCTGCTTCTTGCTCTGACTGAAGGCTGCTGGGAGCAGGGGGTGGGGCTTGTTGCATGTGCCCGCCCCCTGGGCTCTTTACTGCCGGAGCTCCGCTCCTGTGTACTCCTGCAGGAAATGACTCCTGTCTGTATGCCAAGAAAAGTCCGTATGGTCAAAGCAATGGTATTCCCAGTAGTAATGTATGGCTACGAGAGTTGGACCATAAGGAAGACCGAGCACCGAAGAATAGATTCTTTCGAATTATGGTGCTGGAGAAGACTCTTGGGAGTCCCTTGGACTGCAAGGAAACCAAATCAGTCAATCCTAAAAGAAATCAACCCTGACTGTTCCCTGGAAGGCCAGATAATGAAACTGAAGCCCAAATACTTTGGCCACCCAATGAGAAGGGAGCACTCACTGGAGAAGACCCCGATGCTGGGATAGACTGAAGGTAACAGAAGAAGGGGACGGCAAAGGATCAGATGGTTGGACAGTGTTATCGAGGCAACGAACATGAAATTAAGCAAACTCTGGAGCACGACGGAAGACAGGAGGGCCTGGCGTGATGTGGCCCATGGGGTCGTGAAGAGTCGGACTCGACTGTGTTACTGAATAACAACAAAAATGAATATAACATATGACACATTCATTTACTAGCATGCATTATATTAGATTATAGCTCACATAGGGCCTGAGCCACAGATCCCTTGACCTAGCAAGGGAGATACATGCAAACAAGGCCTAGTTGACATCTTATTGTACATCCCATCCTCATTGATCAGGATGGCTATGCTTTATATTGATGGTGACACCACACATGTCCACCGGGGGCCTTGACTCACTTGAAATAAAGTGTGACTGGAGCTAGTTGAGGGGCATTGTGGTAACGCAGAATCTCTCAGGTGTGCATACCCATGTCTCATTAGGTTGTAAGATTCAGGCTTTTGCAGCGTGGACTACCAATGAACAAACAAACTTGACTGATAGATTCCCAAACATGCCAAAGAACGCAGCCAGCTGTAGTTTTAAGCTCATTCGTTGTCTCATGAAACACAACAAGACTGATCATAGGCAAAACATATGTCATGTGTGATGTGGTTAGCGTGAAGTTAGGAGACTCCTTCAGCTCCAGCTATAAAGAGATGGGTCCTTGGCTCTTCAGATGTGGTGGGAAGTCGCCGCTGACTTGTGGTGACCCCATGGGGTTTTCCAGGCAAGAGACAAACAGAGGTGGTTTCCCATTGCCTGCCTCTGCGTAGTGACCCTGGACTTCCTTGGGGGTCTCCCATCCAAGTACCAACCAAGGCCGACCCTGCTTAGCTTCTGAGGTCTGATGTAATCAGGCTAGCCTGGGCCATTCAGCTCAGGGCAGAGGTGGTTTGCCATGGCACCTCTTGACACCTTTCCTGGTTCCTGCCAAGTGTTTTAAGGAAGTGGGTGGGGCCAGGTGGGGCTCTGCCCCATCAGGGCTTCCTGATTGGTCACTGGAGATCTGATCTCCATACGTGCAAATTATATTTTTTTCAGTGGTGGCTACCACTACAATGTTGGTGTTATTCTTTCTCATGCTCCTCCACCCCAGTGTATTTTTTAAATTATCCCTCTTCTACCCTGCACATGGGCCTCCTCTGTGTGCACAGCTCTGTCTCCTTTGGCGGCCATTTTGTGGTTGGCTCCGCCTCCTGTGGTGGCCATTTTGTGGCTGGCTCCGCCTCCTGTGACGGCCATCTTGTGGTTGTGCCCACCACCCTGTGTCAGAATTATTCCAAAAGTGCCGAGAGGCTCAAAAAGGTTGGGGACTCCTGCTTATGTAATAGTTTCTGATTTTTTATTGTATACTGCCTTTTTTTAAGGAGGGAAAGGTAGTTTACAGGCTACCCTAAAACAAACAAACAAATAGTGTGCAATGAATTGCAGATGTCAATCTGGCCTCTGGAGGTCTCCACCAAAACTCTTTGGAGGGGAACCAGGCAGGTAGTTCCACCCATCTCCGTCCCCCAACTTCAAAATGGGGTGTGTGTCAAATGGTTTCAGTCAGAGAATAATTTCCCACAGAGCATTTCACACAAAGTCGACATGATGGCTCATAGATTGCAGTCATACATCTCTCTTATTGCACATGCTTCCCTGTTATTGCACATTCTTCCCTCTTATTGCCATACTTTCCTCTCATTGCACATTCTTCCCTCTTATTGCACATGCTTCCCTGTTATCTGTCATTCCTCCCTCTTATTGCACAGGCTTCTCTAGGAAATTGTTCAAAAGGCATTATGTAGGCTGTGGAATGGCAGCCTTTTGGACAACCTGATCAACAGTCATCTACCAAAAAGGCCTGTGATGGGGAAGAGGGAGGTACTTATGCATTATATCAGTACAATCCCAATATGCATTATGAAGTAGTCTTCCACCAACAGATGTGCAAGGGTGGGGAAAGTGGGGGAAAGCCTTATTCCAGTTCTAGCCGGTCCTTGTCCTCAAGATCCGTGCATCTGTTCAAAATGGCCATAACAAGTACAGGATAGCCAATATTCTGTAACCACTCCCAGGCTGTGCATTGGTTCTAGGAATGCAAACTTATTGCAGATGTTGTGTCCACTGACTGCCACCAGGGGCCAGCGAACACTCCAGAGCTGCCTCTGGAGGAACAATGGGGACTAGGCTCCTGGTCTCTCCACTGGGGAACCAATGGGACCGTGGCGGGAGATTTAAACCCACCAACGGGACCTAGGGGTGTGTCCCCAGGTGTGTATATAGTTGGCCAGCCGGCCGTTTGTCTTTAGTCTTGTTGTGTACCAGTAAACCATGCTGATCACTACATCAGTCTCAGTGGTTTCTTTATGCGTTTAACCCACTACACTTCAGCAAACTTATGTCCATTGGTTCTAGGAATGCAAACTTATTTTAGGCATCTGCTTTTCTTTTTACTACTATAAAAGTACACGAGCCAAAATTTCAGCAAGTAGACATTGAATCATAGTTGCCAGTTTGAAGATGTACCTTTCCCCCCAGAAAATAAAGAAATCGCAAGCAACGTCCATCACAAAAACTAGAAAGAGAAATGCTATAGCAACTTGGTTTTCTATTATTACTTTTGCGCATGACACTTAAAACCAAAACAAAACACTCCCCTAGTCCCCAAACAAAGACAGGTACAGTCATACTTTCCAACAAAGAAGTTGGTCGGGAATATAATATATTTGTGGCTCAGGATTCAAAAGTTTCCATTGTAATTAAATAAGACAACATGGACAATTGTAAAATCAGAAACTCAGGATAATGAACTAGAGACAATTACCGGCGTGTGCCCAACAGAGAGGTTTAAGAAAGGAAATGGGGAAAGGAGGCCAACATGCAAAACGGTGCTAGTTCTTGCTGAATATACTTTTCAAACTTCTTTCCACGGCTTCATCTAATTCTTCTTCCAACTCCTCCTTCTTGGACATGGCCAATTTAGACTGGTAATCTTTTACTATTTGGTCTATATAGGGTGCACTTTGAGTCCCGTGTAGCATTAATGTCCACTCTTTCAGGACTCCCTTCTGAGGCATGATACCAACAAACCCGACTTCAAGGACCCAAGTACCTCTGGGGTCTTCTCCCCAAGAATGCGTCGTCATGAAAGGCCATTTGTCAAAGCCCACTTTGGAGTCATCATCCCTCGGACGTCGACTCAGCAAAATAGATTTCGTTCCCATCGGGGACGTCATGTTGATGTTCAGATCCCCCCTTCTGGTGGAGTTCACGGTGATCACTGCCTGAACGTGTTCCAGATAACGGACAAAGTTCTCCTTCCCCTCGCAAGCGTCAGTTGTGAGTGTCAGAACCAACTTGCCGTTGGATGGTATTTTCCTGAACGGGAACAAAAATGGATGAATCGATAAAAGGGATAAAATGTTCATCAGACACACATTGATTCCTATATACGTATCAAAATTTAGTTTATCGACTGTCAGCGGAATAGGCTGAAGAGTTTTCTGGAGGGTGCACTGGTTATTAGTCGAGACTTTAATGGCATTATGGATTCAAAATTAGTTAGGTTATTCAGGAAGGTGTCTTTTTAGATCCCTCCCCAATCCTTTGTGTTTTACTTTTGAAAGATAATAATTTAATTGAGGCATGGAGGTTTCTGCACTCAAGTGAAAAGGATTGTACTTTTTATTCTATACCATGTAACTCATATGCATGACTTGACTTCTTTTTAACTTCTCCAGGAATTATAAGCCTGCAAAGTTAGTGGCCAAACTATTAAAATGTGAACAATCAATCAATCAGAGGAAAAAAAATCTATATCTAAGATCTCTGTTAATAATAGGAATTTTTCTCCTACTAAATCCTGCTATGTCAAACACTGGTCAATTCCTCTATAAAATCAACATGCTTGAATTAACTGCTGAAGACGTAGCTGCATTGGAAGCTCCCAAATACAGTGCTGAGAAGCTCCAGAGAGAGAGAGGTGTGAATATGCAGTTATGCACACATCGCTAACTAGTAAACAAGCAAACTAGTAAACTGTTCCACTGCTCAACCACTCTTATAGTTGAGAAGTTTGACCGGCTAAATATCAGGAGAAACTTCTTAACTGTAAGAGTGGTTGAGCAGTGGAACAGTCTGCCTCGGGAGGTGGTGGATGCTCCTTCGCTGGACGTTTCCAAGTGGAGGCTGGACGACCATCTTTTGGGTATGTTGTAGGTATGTAGGAGTCTCTTTCAGTTATGCTCCTGCAGAGTGCAGGGGGTTGGACTAGATGACCTGCAAGGTCCCTTCCAACTCTAACATTCTATGATTTTATGATTCTAAAAGACCAGTCAGACCTGCCTGATTGCTTGGGTGAGCAACGGAGCGATCAGACAACAAGAAAACCAGTCTGAAACCAGCTCAGCCCAAAAGGACCAGACTTTCACAGGTATCAAAGAAACACACAATAAAGGGGGGGGGGACAGAATGCAGACAACTGGGGCACGACAAACAGATGTTGCTGTCTGATTTTGCATTTTAAATCTGGAACTGGAACAGCAACAGCAACAGATCAAACTACACGTCTGATTGCAGCCGAAAGTTTATACCCCCAAAACTCCATTGGTCTCTAAGGTGCTACTGGACTCCACTGTAGACCAATATGGCTACCCTCTGAGACCAGAGCATCATGTTTGAGGACTGCCACCGTATTGCACTGTAACTTCCGTATGTCACAGCTGACGAAATCTTTTGAAAGTTTATTCCCGTGTCCAGTGAGTTTTCCATTTTTCTTCTAAGTTAAGAGCATGACCAACCTCTTAAGTCTTATTGTGAACCCGACCCAATTTGAACCTGAATCGCAGCATCTGCATTACATTTCCTAAGAATGCATGAACACGGGAAGCTGCCCGATACTAAATCAGACCTTTGGCCTCTCAAGGTCCTAGTTGTCTTCTCCAGGGGTCCCAAAGTTTTTTGAGTCTGCGGGCACCTTTGGAATTCTGGCAAGGGGCAGTGGGCAAAATCGCAAGATGGCTGCCGCAGCTATTCAGAAGATTTTAAAGATGAATATACAGCTGAAACCAGAAGTCCTTCCATTGGGATCGATGGGCAGGCAGTAAGGGAAAACACTTGGAGCTTTGTTTTTGTATATGACAACGGCGGCAAGATTATTATATGCTCAGAAATTGAAATCTTCAATATTACCAACAATAGAAGAATGGCCGGTGAAGATGGTGAAACTTGCTGAGAGGGCCAAACTTATTTTTTTTGATTAGGGAAAAGACATTATCTGTATTTATTGCTTACTGGAAACCCCTTATAGGCCCCAGTCGCACGGGCCAGATAATGCATGGGGAGGTGTGGCTATTTGCACCATCACATTCTGATGTGCGATGATGCGATCAGATGCGACGTCTGCTTCCCTTGGCTATTTGCACCGTCACATTCTGATGCGTGATGATGCGATCAGATGCAACGGCTGCTTCCCCGCTGCAAAGAGGACGACGGGGGAGAAAGCCGCGTGCCAGCGCAATCACACCGAGGGAGTCCGCATGCAGCCCGTGGCAAACCATTTGCCAGTAGGTCGTCCCAGGTACTTTTTTAATGTGCATCTTCGGCGGGATGCCACGGGTTCGCCACGGGTACGCTACGCCTCCCAGATGTTCTGGTGTGATCGTGCCCGGAAAATCCGCGGGACAATCGTGCCTTCAGCGCAGCAAATGCTCCGTGTGAACGGGGCCATGGACTTTTTTTGCATGAAACCAAAAAAGATGAATTGATGACCTGTGGTTTTGAAGAATAAGGGAGGGGAAAAGCTTATAGATAGAGAGATCTATTATGTTGTTATAGAGAGGGTGACTGAAGTAAACAAAGTTGTCGGTCATAGACGGAGATTGAAAGATATTCCCTTATCTTCCGTCTACTTTTCATGCTTTTCTCACTTCCTTTTTTGACCTTTTTCGTTCCATTTTTTGTGTTTTCTGTTCCCCCCCTTTTTACGTATGTTTTGAAAATCTTAATAAAAATTGATATTAGAAGCACAAAATGGCTGCTGCGGGAGTTGGCGCTAGTCACAAAATTCCACTGCAAAAGGCACAGCTGACCACAAAACATCAGGGACTGAGGTTATAGACAACTGTAAGAGTAACACTTCAACATTTCAGGTAGAAGCTCTGTTTAAGAGGATGCCTTTTAATGTGCACAGCCAATCAGATGCCCTCCCAGGGAAAAGCCCCACCTAGCCCCGCCTACTTTCTAAAAAAACTTGGTGGGCACCAGTAAAGTTGTTGGTGGGTGCTATGGCACCCACAGGCACCAGGTTGGGACCCCCTGGTCTACTCTGATTCAGTGTTCCCTCTAAGCTGAGTGAGTGTGAGCTAGCTCACAGTTTTTGAGCCTCCGGCTCACACGTTTTTGTCTTCGCTCAGGCAGGATGGGCTCCAGAGCAAACTAATTTATGCAGTAGACAAATCGCTCGCTCACAACTTTAACGCCAGGAGCTCACAAAGAAGAATGCTTGCTCACAAGACTCCACAGCTTAGAAGGAGCATTGCTCTGATTGTCTGTGGCTCTCCAGAATCTCAGATCAAGGTCTTTCACATTACTTTATCCTTTTATCTGGGGGTGCTAGGGATTGAACCCGGGACTATCCGCAGGCAAAGCAGATGTTCTGCCACTGAGCTATACCCATACCATCAGATTAGAGAGAGGGAACTCAGATTAGACCCCCCAATAAAGAAAGGCACGTACCTCCCAACACCAGTTTTTGTTTTTATTACATCCTTAGAGGCTTTGCATGATGCAGGGTGCCGGCCTTATACGCAAATAAAATCTAACAGACCTCCACAATGCACATCAATTTTATATTAGAGCCATAGATCATTTTCCTTGCCAATAAAGCGCAGCCGTTTCCAGCGATAACACCGAAAAAGTAAATTGCGACTCTTGGAGGCATAAATTGGCTGTCATTAGGTTAGCATTCCAAATAATTTAATTGAACTTTAGCTCTTGCAGTCAATTAGTATTAATTGATTTGCTTGTTGACTCACCCGGCTTTTGCCACACGAGGAAAATCAGAAAATAATTTGACTACCTAGGCCTTAATTGGAGACCCGGAGAACAACAAAACAAATAAACTGTTTAATGCTGCCGTGGTATGGCATTTAAGACTACATTGACCGTGTTATCGAACTCTTTGCTACTGAGTTGAATAAGTCGGAGAAGAACTCAATGAACCCTAATATCTTAATTTGGGGAGGGACGGCAGCGTGGTATAGCCTGGACTAGTCAGATCTCGGAAGGTAAGCAGGGTCGATACTTAGATGGGAGACCACCAAGGAAGACTCTGCAGAGGAAGGCAATTGGCCAACCACCCTTGCTTCTCACTTGCCTTGAAAGCCCCTTGCTGGGGTCACCATTAAGTTGGTACTTGGATGGGAGACCACCAAGGAAGACTCTGCAGAGGAAGGCAATTGGCCAACCACCCCTGATTCTCCCTTGCCTTGAAAGCCGCTTGCGGGGGTCACCATTAAGTTGGTACTTGGATGGGAGTCCACCAAGGAAGACTCTGCAGAGGACGACGATTGGCAAACCACCCCTGCTTCTCACTTGCCTTGAGAACCCCTTGCTGGGGTTGCCGTTAAGTCAGGGCTTGGATAGGAGACTACCAAGGAATGCTCTGCAGAGGACAGCAATGGCAAAAGCAGCACGGTATAGCCTGATCTAGTGAGATTCCGGAAGCTAAGTAGGGTCGGTACTTGGAAGGGAGACCACCAAGGAAAACTCTGCAGAGGAAGGCAATGGCAAACCACCTCTGTGTCACTTGCCTTGAAAGCCCCTTGCTGGGGTTGCTATTAAGTCGGTGTTTGGATGGGAAACCACCCAACAAGGCTCTGCAGAGCATGGCAATGGCCAACTACCCTGCCTCTCACTTGCCTTGAAAACCCCTTTCTGGGGTTGCCATTAAGTTGGTACTTGGATGGGAGACCACCAAGGAAGGCCCTGTAGAAGACAGCAGTGGCAAAGGCAGCATGGTATAGCCTGGCCTAGTCAGACCTCGGAAGCTAAGCAGGGTTGGTACTTTAGATGGAAGACCACCAAGGAAGACTCCCCTACTCAAACTCCACCCTACTCAGGTCCCAATCCCAAAGTCTCCAGGTATTTCCCAACCCGGAGCTGGCATCCCCAACTGTGGCTCCAGCTCTGTGGAATGGGCTCCCGGAAGAGGTGAGGGGAGTTCTCCTTCGAGAACTTCAGGAGGTGCTGCAAGGCCTGCCTTTTTGCCAGGACCTTTGAAAATGCTCCCGTACAAGGGAAACCCCCCTCCCCAAAACCAGATTCCAGGGGGCCTTTCAGACTTCCATGGGAGTGGGAAGATCATCACATTCTGTGAGTGGAAATGCTTGCGCCTGCACTTACCTAATCACAAAAAAGAGAACAGTCGTGATGGGGACCAATGTGGAAGCCATCTTGTAACGTCATAGAGTGCAAGTCAGCTAAGCACGGCTAAGTTCCAATGATTTTAATTTCAGAGGGCAGGCACGTTGGACTACAGACGAACAGCTAGATTTGAGTCCAATAGCACCTTAGGGACCAAGATGATTTTCGGGGTATGAACTTTTGAAAATCAAAAACTAGTTAGATTCGAGTCCAGTGGCACCTAAGAAACCAACAAGATTTTCGGGGGAAGGAACTTTTGAGAATCAAAAACCAGTTAGATTCGAGATCAGTGGCACCTAAGAAACCAACAAGATTTTTTGGGGAAGGAACTTTTGAGAATCAAAAACCAGTTAGATTCGAGATCAGTGGCACCTAAGAAACCAACAAGATTTTCGGGGGAAGGAACTTTTGAGAATCAAAAACCAGTTAGATTCGAGATCAGTGGCACCTAAGAAACCAACAAGATTTTCGAGGTATGCTTTCCAGAATCAAAAATCAGTTAGATTCGAGTCCAGTGGCACCTAAGAAACCAACAAGATTTTCGGGGTATGAACTTTCCAGAATAAAAAATCAGTTAGATTCGAGTCCAGTAACACCTAAGAAACCAACAAGATTTTCGGAGAATGAACTTTCGAGAATCAAAAATCAGTTTGATTCGAGTCCAGTAACACCTAAGAAACCAACAAGATTTTCGGGGTGTAAGCATTCGAGAGTCAATGCTCCCTTCGTCAAGGAAGTGTAGACTCTCGAAAGCTTATACCTCGAAAATCTTTTTGGTCTCTAACGAGTCTCGTCACTTAATTTATTTCTGTTTAAAAAACTTATACTCCATCTGCAGTATGTGACTCTTAGCAGTAGTATCTTGTATGAAAACTCGATTTTTTTTTTAAAAAAAATCACAAATAGCCAGAACCTAAAACTATGAATTGCAGTCCAAGCATCAGCGTGGGGACCAATCTTATAAATGGACTGAGCCCATTTCACCTACCGAGGCTCTTGTATCGAGCCACCAACGCAGTGAAACCTCTCTGGAACAGTTTTCCAGTCTTTGGCCATCTTGACCATCGCCCCAGCGTCGAGGACACCATAGCCGAACAAGTGGTTGAACTCCAGGCCGACCCCGTTTCTTCGCCACTGGTGGACTTCGTCGTGGAGCTGATTCCTCTTGGAAGTGAGGACTGTCAGATGCTGCATGTCCCTCCACGTCAGATCCACGCTGTGAGAGAGCAACATGGTGAAAGTCAGTGGCTTTTGAAAGACAGCTGCAGAAGAAAATACTGGTTTCCTTTTGCTTATGAAAGGGCCGTCTCCTTCCATAGGGTGAGAGTGCTACGACTTGCCCAAAGTTCCCCACTTGAAGCCAGTTGGCGACCTTGGGCAACTCACAGCACTCTCGGTCTAGGAAGAAGCGTAATTCGCCACCTAGTGGTGTCAAAAAAGAGCTACAACTTCAGGCAGGCAATCTATCCTTCGGGATCTCCTCGCTATTCCATACACAATGCCATACGATAATTTTTCCTTCCATATGTCCCCCGTAAAGACATCGGGCAGCCATCTGCTGGCTGTCCCACTACTTAGGGTGGCCATCTGGCACTGATCAGAGCCCGGGACTTTGCCATTGTGGCTATGGTTTCCAACCTCCAGGTGGTGGCTATTACAACTGAAATCAAGGTGACACAGGTCAGTTTCCCCGGAGAAAATGGCTGCTTCGGAAGGCGGACTCTATGACATCATATCCTGCTGA